GGCGAAGAAGGGCCGGAGAGGTGTGGGGACTGGATCGCGCAGCTCCGGTGTGCCAGCCGAAGGGCAGACCCCTCGACGCCCCCCGGGCCGGCAGGGAGGGGACACGATGGCTCCCAAAGCTGGTGCTTTTCCTCCGGCTTTCCACTGGCCCCCGACACCCCTCCGACAGGGCACAACCCAGCCTGCCCCCCGTGACACCCGTGGCCGTGCACCGCTCACCTGGCGCCGGCTCCGCAGAAGCCGAGCGTGAGATCCGCGGCACTGCCCGCGCCGCCCGTGGCTGGCAGCTCGCCTTGGAGGCATGCCAGTGGGGAAGGGGGCTCTGGACTTCAAGAGGGGCTTGGAGACCCGCCGGGGCAGCGGGGAGACCCCAGCCCGGCCTGGCCATGGCTCCTCCTGCACGTAGGTGAGGAGGCAGCTCCTCTCCAAGGGCGGAAATGAGCCAGGCCCAGATCAGGGCCTGATGCTGGGCCTGCCCCACACGAGTCCCATTTTACAGGCGAGGGGACTGAGCGCAGCAAAGGGCTCCGCGTCCTTGCGCAGAGGCTGGGGCCACCCATCCACCTCCCCCCCCCGGGTCTGCACCGCGGGCCCAAAGGGGACAGGGAGCATCGCAACCAGCTCCTGTGCCCGCTCTGGCCCCCCAGAGCCGCCTGCCCTTCAGTCCATGTCCCACGTTCTCGGTCAGCGGGGAAAAAAGGATGCCAAAAGCAAGAGTGAGATGCACGGGAAGCCCAGTGAGCCCAGCTGCGTGGGGCTGGTAATGGACCCAGGCTCGCTGCACATGCTGCACGTCTGCAGCCGTTGGGGAGGGCACTGCCCGTCCCCAGCCAGACACTAAGTCTTCGGCAGAGACTATAAAGCGGCGCAGGCGGCTGAGTGTCTCTTCGGGGAGCGGCAGCTTGGTGCTAAATGGGCAATCACCGCCAGCAGTGATGCCTCTCGCTGCCAGCGCCGGCAGGCCGAGGCATTTGCCGCTTGGCAGTGGGACCGGGGCAGGCCGCTCTGGGCCAACGGCGCCCCCAGACCCACGCGGAGCGGGGCTGAGCTCTGCGCTTCCCCTTCGGGATCAGAGGCCGTGGGCGCTTGTGGGATGAGCTGGTGCCTGGCGGATGCCCCCACGCCCGGGCATTAGACCCATGGGGTCAGCTCCCCAGGCACCTACCACGTACAGCTCCAAGCGCGGCCCTGCCAGGCTCCAGCAACCGAGGGGCCGTGTGCATGGGGGGCTGGGGAGGTTCAAAGCGGGTCGGATCGGATCCAAAGCCTGACGTGCCAGACTCTTGCCTCCCCCAGCCCACATGGGATGCACATGCGTGTGAACACGCACGCACTCCCACGTCACACGCAACTCAAGGCCCCCCTCCCCTCTCAAACCTCCCCGCAGCACCGCCATCCCCTTCAGCTGCTGAAAGGGGCTTGTAACCCGGACCCATCACTTAAACCACTTCCAAAAGGAGCCGGTCTAGGAAGCACGACCCACGCCTCCCGTACACGCTACCAGTCGTGTGCCACTTCACACATGCCGGCTCTTGTGCTCCGTTACACACATGCACGCCCTTGGCTGCTGCATGCAGCCTTTCCAAAGTCTCCAGCACCCGAGCCTTTCCCAGGCAGCACCTACCTTTCCTCCTGCCCTTCTGTCTGGGTCGGGGGGGAAGTGGCGGCCCCAGGGCTGGTCCCCAGCAGCCGGCTGCCAGCTCGGCTCTAGAAGTGCCCAGGCACCGTGTTCACAGGTGGGCGGGGAGGGGGCTTTGCAGCCTGGAGCAGGGGAGGGGAAACCCCGCCGTGGCCAATTGCTGTGAAGGGGAGGAGGAGACAGCCAGGGCTCAGGGTGGCATCTCGCTGTCAGGGATGGGGAAGGGATCTGGTGTTTCGAGGCCCGGATGACAAGCGGCACCTCCAAGCAGCCCCCGTTTCTGCTCAGGTCTGGGCCTGTTGATACCTCCCCTGAGGAAGGGCCCAGGGGAGAGGAGCCGGAGGATCTCCAGCCATGCAGGGCCATCAAGGATCGTGATAGGGCGCTGCTAAGGCAGTGGGGACTTCAATTCCCAGCTCTGGGAGGAGGGATGGACTAGTGGTTAGAACAGGGTGGGCTGCCAGGATCCTCTTATCTCTGCCACTGACTCACCCTGCGGCCTTAGGCAAGTCCCTCCACCCTTCCCTAGCGCTGATTCATCTCCCGTTGAAGCAGGGACTACTCCCACGCCTCTCCCGGAGTCTGTGGGCCGAAGGCCCCATCAGCTGAAGCTGCTAGAGGAACCTCAGCAATTGAAATCGGGGCAGGGAGGGAAAGAATCGCAGCTCGCTGCTCCCCGGGCCCAAGCGTTGGTCTAGCGAGCGCTGCTCTTCCGCCGCCAGGCCGGTCTTGCCGCTTGGATTGAAGGACCCAGAAGTTGCACAGCTGGCTCCCCACTGCTAGGCTTGACTTTCACGGGTGGGGTGGGAAGCAGAAGCCAGCCACACCTGTGCGTGTCTGATGTGTCGGGTGTTTGCTTGGCAGCTCCTGAAGCATCTTAAGACGAGTGCAGACGACATTTCTCTAGGACCATTTTAGCCGATCCTGCCTTCAGCGAGGAGTTGGGTTCGAGGTGAGCTGGGGAGGGCCCAGCCGACCCAACTCCTCTCACACGCCAAGGCCTGTAGGCAACGAGAGCTGAGCCGCAATGCATCACGCTGCTTTCTGCACGGCCCAGCTATTAGACCTACGATCGCGGCTGTAACCCAGTCGTGCCAGCGCCCATGGTGGGCACAGCTCTATCGGCATCAGGGGGCCTCATTGGCATGATACACTGGTATTTCTATACTGGTTGTCACGCTGGGTCTGAAGGAGGCAGCTGGCCACAGGCCCGTGAAACTCAGCGAGACATAGCAGGCGATACGGGGATGGTGGGCACACATGGGGGGGTGCCAGCCCCTGGGCTGTGGCAGGACGGAGGGACACCACCCTGGATGGACTAGGGCCTCAAACGGACCTATTGCCACAACAGGATGGGATTGAACTTGCAAAAGTCCTGCTGACTACTTCCCCAAAGCCCCACACTACACCCCCAAAGCCCCACTGACTACTCAAAATCCCTGCTATGCCCCCAAAGCCCCAGCCTACACCCCAAAAGCCCCAGACAACTCCCCAGCTCCAGCCCAGAAGAGACCTGGGCACTGCTCACTGGGACAGTGACTGATCCTTTCGCTGCCCCATTTCCCAAACCTGGTTTGGAAAGAGGGACCAGGCGATAACTCCTCTGCCTCAGTCTTCCCCCTGCTAAGGTGGGTTACAGTCAGGGGCAGAGGGCTGGGTTTTCAGTGTGCCCAGGGGGGGCTCTGCTCTACCAGCCGCGTGCCCTGCTCGTGGGAGTGAAGGCATCACGCCTGCTTGGAGCCCTTCCCCTCGCCACCGCAGGAAACACGAGCCAGGCCTCTGCTTTGCTTTGAAATCAGGTTTTTAATTAAATAAATAACGGCGAGGGGTATTCAAGGCAGTATCACTTCACAGTGTGGGGCCTCCCGGGGGGCGCGGCTGGAGACAAAATGTGCTTTGTAGGAGGACAGGAATGACAACCGACCCCCCCGCCCCGTCCCGCCTGCCCCCTGCCGCGCTCCCGATCCAGCCCCACGTGCAGCTGTAAACAACATGGAAGGATATAAATAAGAGATGTCTCCCCACCGCGCTGGCGCACGAGACAAACCGAACCGGAGGAAGAGCTGCGGGCGGAGGAGCTGTGGGCCACTGCACCCACCCGGGAGGGCACCGGGGTGCCCCGTATGCCCTGCCCCGGTTGTTTGCTCCGTCTCCCTTCAGCAAGGGAAGGCTGTGCAGAGAGGGCCCGGGCTCAGGGCAGGACCTTTGCTTCCTACTCCCGGCACTGGACGCTGGCGGGTCTCACAACCTGACGTCCGGCCGACGTGGTCGCCTGGGTCTGGAGTGTGACATCCCTCAGCTGAGCTGGCCGGGACCAGAGTCGCGCCCTGGCCCCAAGCAGAGCTGCGGGGTTTGAGATAGGAGACAGGGTCCGACTTGACGCCCAGCTGGGCATCAAACACATGGTGACTCGGAGCCCTTTGTGCCCCCTGCCTCGCGTGGAGATAGATCCGGGCTCCCTGCGTGTCACCGCGTTTGAATCCGCTGGCGCGAGGCTGGCTCCAGGCCGAGACCTGAAGGCAGCGATTAAGAAACCCATGTGCAGGGAGAGCGGCGGGAGGATCGGGCTGGAGGCCCGCGTGGCAAGTAGGGAGGCAGCAGGCCCTGGCTGAGGGTGGGAGGGTGCTCACAGGGAAGTGGAGAAGGCTTTAGCCAGCAGCACACCCTGGACCTGGGCTCCCCACGCCAGGCACCTGGGCTGGTTTGGCACTCTGCACAGGGCCCAGAGTCCCTGCCGCCTTGGCAAGGCCCTGGCAGCAAACGCATCCCTTTCTCTTAGGACATCAGTTTCCTTGTCACATTCGGGAGTCCTGGGGCTGAGGCAGGCTCCAGCCCAGGTCCCGTGCCAGGAATCAGTGCAGGGTTTGCCAGCATCGATGCCCTGCGGCTGAGCCTCCCTGCCTGCGGCACGTGCACACGCCGGCACACAGGGGCAGAGAAGATGCCCAGGCACACAAGCCATCCTGCCAGGGCTGGGCGCTCCGTACTCCTTTGAGGCTCATGGGTGTGCACCCCGGTTTCACCCTAGAGAAGCGCCTGGGTTTGCCACACCTGGCGCAGGATGGGGCACACACTACGGGCGCAGAGGCCGTGCCCCCTGCCCTGTCTCTTCTACTCAACTTTAAGCCCTTGGACAGGCAGAGCGAGAGCTGACTCATTCACCGCACCCCCTTTCCCTTGCTTTCTCCCCAGACAGACCAGTTTGGAGCCACCTGGGCACATCTGCAGGCTGCCTGTCTGAGTTTAACCCTTCCACGGGGCCAACTGTGCTGTCCACTGCAGCATAGGCTCATGAGCACTGGGTTAGCACAACTCCATCAGTCTGTCTACAGACTCCTCTTGTTAGCAGCCCAGCCTTATCCCTGGATCCAGGTTCTCCACAGCACAGGCCCCAGTAAGTAATGGAAGGGAGGTCAACTGGGCAATGTACAACTGCCCCTGATAATGGGCTGAGGCCTTCCCATAGGGGGTAGGGACAGGCTGCGCGCCTTATCTGGCCCTGGTAGTGCGGGGGCTGGACAAGCACACCTGCTGCCGGGATCAACAGACCAACAGGCACAGTCCTGCCACCGGGAAGGATGGGGAGACAGAAGCACTTCTATTGCAACACAGAACGCGGCAGGGACTGCCTTTGGGACCAGCGCCCGGCCCGGCAGCCGGACGGCCCCCACTCTGCCTGTGCTTGCTTCCTGCGCGCTTGCAGATCCAGTGACACCGCCAAAATGCCCACGATGTGTCCCCTGTTGCGACAGCCCCCTCCTCTGCCCGGAGGGCAGGGGCTGTCTGACCAGCATAGTGTTGCCCGTGGCGATGCATGGGCAGGGAGGGGGGGGGTCACCGACTCCCCCACTAAAACCTCCCCTGTTGATGAGCACGAGAGCAAAGAGGTGTCCGGCTGTGGATCACGGAGGATGGAAAGACGGATTCTGACCGATGGCTCTCAAGTGTCCCCATGAAACAGAGAGGTCCAAGGAATTCACTCAGCGAGGTCCAGGTCCCAGCTCCATCTGTGACATGCTTGTAAGTGGAGGCTCACTGTGACAATGGCTCTGACTGGGCCACGGGTGCTGGGCAGGCCTGGTGAGCTGCTAGGAAGCTATTCACATCCCCAATGCCAATGATGCTGAAATCTGTGACCGATAAGGACACCTGAGCTGGGGCCACCACCGCCTCGGGGGCTGTGCCCAAATCCACGCGGCCAGCGATTAAAGGCAAGCCTTCGCCCATGTCTGCGGGGAGTGTGAAGTCCATGGCTATCGTCTCGCCGGAGCTCTGCAATGTCTCTGCTTTGTCTGCCGGGTCCGGGCCTGCTGGGGGCAGCGGGTAGATCCCCGTCTCTGAGGGGGTCCCGGGGCGCCGCGTACTTGAGGCCGGCTCCTCGGCAGGGTCGAAGGAACAGTTTGTCTCTGAGGGCGTACTGCACTCGTAGCCCTGGCCCGACTCGCTCATGCTGCCCAGGCTGCAGGCTGCACTCTCCACGCTCAGGGGCTCTGCACGGTGCGACAGCAAGGGGAGGAGCAGAGACAGGAGGGTGAGGGCAGAGGAGTTGGTGCCTGTCCATAGCACGCTAAGGGGCTTCCTGCTCATGCCTGTGACAAGCCCGTGTGACTGAGCGCAGCAGTGACCCTTTGCTACAACAGTCAAGCCCTGTGTCAGTGCAGTGCAGGATGCATATAAGGAGAGAAGAGGCAGGATGCTCATGGGCTAAGGGGAGACTTCAGCGTTTTAGGGAAATTCAGGTGAACGATTCATGGGAGACTCCAGGAGTCGTCTCCCCCTCCCCATCCCGCCCCTGCCTTTCTCCCCAACATGCGGATGTCAAGCTCAAGTTTATCAGGGTGGTGGAAGAGGGAGCTCAAACTCTGCTCTAGATTCTCCCTACATCTGACCTGTATGGAGCCCAACTGCATGTCCCTGGTTACATGCTGATGGGGCAGATAAGCCTCTTGCCCCAGCACTGAGCCCTGCCCTGGGGTCTAGGCTGTGGAGAAGGGCCTTGGTTAGATGGCAGGTCACAGGAGGCAGGCCAACAGAGCCGTGAGACTGCAGCCACTGCAGCACACCCAGGTGGAAGGCAAGGAAGTTACCTGTGCTCTCGATGGCCAAGGGGTCCTGGCTGAAGTGGGAGTCCAGGCAGCTGGTAGCAGAGGGAATGGGCGGTGAGCTCCGGGCCCGGCCAGCGTTCTCCACCTCGCCTCCGTCCAGGTCGTTCTCTGCATAGTCCCTGCAGGGAGAGAGGTGGCCATGACTCTCCATGGAGTGGGAAGGGGTGAATACGCTGCAGAGGGATGCAGTATTCCCTGCGCCACAGGCAGCAAGAAGCCCACTGTGCCAACACCTTCCACTCAGCACCCACAAGGCCTGGCTGGGATCTCGCACTTGGTGAAAACCAGAGCAAACGAAACCAGCATCAAACCCTGTTGCTTTCTAGCCTCAGCTGAGCTTGGCACCCTGGACCTGCAGCCTTCCCTTCTTCCCCCAGGAGAGTCAATGGCCACACATTCTCTCCCCAACACAGCCAGAGCCTGCCGCACCACGGGCGCGTTGGCGCAGAGAGCTGGGCTGGGAACTGCCGCCCCAAGAACTTCTTTTGAGCTTTTTCAGAATGTTTCTTGGCCCTGAATCAAGGCCAAGAAATCAAAGGCTCCAACATTTTTGTGACTGAACAATCCCAGAAACAAAATATGGGGTTGTTCCTTTTTTTTTGCTGCATATCAGCTGTTTTAAGTGGGATCTGCTCTTATGAGCTGCAGAGTCCAACTAAAAAGAGAAAAAAAATAATAGGAGGTTCAAGTTTACAAAAAAGGCAAAAATAAGGGAGTTTTACATTTTTTTCCCCCTTTGGTATTTTTAGAAGAGAGAAATGGATCCATGTGGATCCTCCACTCCTGGCAGTGAGGATGGGTGTAGAAAAATGAGCGTGTTAGAACCATAGATACTGAGAGACAATACTGCCAGCTAGCAACACCTGGGGAAAAGGCATCCAGGCTGAGGTTGGCTACCTCCTACGGGCAAAGGGTGCAGCTGATTGCCTGCAGGCCCTGGGAACTCCCCTCCAGGACACTTCCCATCTTTTGTGGTTTAAATAAAAGAGGGGGAGCAATGTTTAAAGCAGTGATTCTCAACCAGGCACTGTGGCACCCTGGGGTACCTTTAGATCCTTTCAAGGGTGCTGTGGGACATCACACAATGTTAGCACTGTTGGGTGTGCAACCATGATTCATGAGATAAACCCAGAGATTTCAAATAGGAATCCAGAGTGTCCAAAGCACTGACCGGCTGTGGTTTCTCTGAGGTCCTTGCAATGGAAAAAAATGCTCTAATATTCTTCTGCCATCAAAAACCTGAGTGAAAACTAAGACCTGGCGCTTTCTGTGGGGTTGAGTCTAACCAAGGGTGCCCCGAATCTATGAGGGTGGAGAACCACTGGTTTAAAGAGAGGCCCCTAGCTGGTGGGGAAGGGTGGAGGCCAGGTTCCTCCGCA